TTCTGTTATAACTTAATGATTATCCTAATTATATTTTAGATTTTTTATATTTAAAATAAGATGTTTATCATGTATTACATTATGTTTATCTGCAGTTAGTTACACGAATTCATATATGAAGCTTTAATAAGTTGTACTTACGCACAATTTACTTGCAATCTTGAATTTTAAGTAATATGCATTAATAAACAGTACTTTACGCATAAAAATGGTTTTTAAGAGTTTTTGTTAAATGCTTTATAATATAGTATAGATAAGAGTCAAATAAGATGTAGGTTTATCTTTTACTATATAAGATGACAATAAGGTATAAGTGTCTATGAAAAACTGAAAAAACCCAAACAGTCTGAATGACTCTACATCTTAACGAGTCAAACATAAGAGGCTAATAAAAGTTCCTTTTTTTCAAAAAAACAAACAAGGCCTAAGTAGTTGTATTAAAAACAGTTAATGTCTTACATTTCAAATTTACTAAAAGCATACTCGTATAATGCAGTGAGATACATCTAAATTTTAATTTTTGTTTTATTCTTTGTCTCTCTCGATGTATTAAAATTTTATGTGGTTTTAAAAAACGATAATGTTTTTACTGTTGAAATAAAAATGTTGTATTCAAGTCATGTGCTAAAAATACTTTTACATTGCTTTGTATTGTAGGTCTTAATGCTTTGAGAGAGAAAACTTGTTGAGAGCATCAAGAACACTTGTAATACACTTGCCGACATATTTGCATCAATCCGTGTTATTGAATCTTGCTGTAATTGTGTTAATTGACTTGAATCTGGGCTAACAAAAAATATTATATAAAACAATTTCACCAGATTCAACAATTTTATTAAATTAAAGCAAATGAAATCGACGGATAAGGATATTTGTACGGTTTACATTAACGTAATAACTTGATTTGCATTTGATTCGTCATCTATCTCTATCCCTCTATAATGAGGTTCAAACGAGAACACCTTCATTTTACGAGAACACGAGAACAACCTTATCACACGTGATAATACGCGTAAGGGGACCCTGCTATGGGCGGACGACGTGTTATATGACTCAGGTCACGCCAAAGGTTGTCTGCGTCTATGATTTAGCATCACGTGTGATGGTCTTCATGGATTATAGTATCATATCAACAACAACCTTATCACATGTGATAATACTTGTGAGGGGGCTTAGTAGTGTAAAGGCGACCTGGCCCGCAACCAATATTGCATCGAAAATCGCCCGCGTCTTTGATTTAGTATCACATGTAATAGAATAATAGTATCACAATTCACATGTGATTGTCTATAGTAAAAGAGTGTTTTCGCGTACTCGTGAAATGAATGTGTTATCGCTTGAACCATTCCATATATATATATATATATATATATATATGTGTGTTTTATTGTTTGTAGTGTAAGAATGACCAAGAATGACTATTGATGATCATATATGCGTGCAACTATTATTGAATTATTTATTTAACTCCTAAATTATTAGATAATCATAACAATGAAGAAATTACCTAACATTGGAAACTAATTATTGGATAAATAATTGTGATATAAAGTCGTGACAGTTATATATTTTATTTTGAATCATAGATTCAAGCATGATTTTCAGTATCGAAGATGTTTCAGGCCATCCACACACTATAATTTCAACTGTTTTTTTTTAAATCATGTCAACTTTATCAATTACTATAAAATTACCTTATACAGAGGCGGAACACAAATGGATTGGATCAACAACAGTGAGGGGGTCCAAAAGAATTTTATACTTAAAACCTTAATGGATTGGAGATGTTTCACTCTAGCAAGGAAAAAAAAGCCCTGGGGCCAAGGCCCCTATGGGCATCCGCCCCTGCCCTATACTACAAGAATTTGTACATAAGTTCAGAAAAACCGTCTAATTCTCCAACTGTCAAGGGCGCACTGGTATTAAGACGTGTGCCAAACCACTCAATATGAAGCGATTAATAAAAAACAGTATTTTAATTAAATAACAATAAACTTTCAGTTGTATATATTTTTAGTTTAATTTAATTTCGAGATATTAATTAACATAAAAAATAATTATTCTAAAAGGAGTAAAATTAATTAATTAAATAAATATTTTTACCTTTATTTTTATTTATAAAATGGTTTTTGATTTAATAAATAATATTTTAAAAAGTTATATTCATGGAGGGGTACACAATGTCACATATAAAAAAAGCAAAAAGAAAAAAGGACTAAAGTAACTTTATACAACGGACACATGACATTATAGACGTATACTAAAAACCAAGAAAACTGGAAAAAAAATCTAAGGACGAAACCGTAATTTACCCAAAAGTCAATTTAAATGGTTAATATTAATAATAATTTTGATCTCACAACGAACGTCATCAAATAGTTTGAATTTAAAAAAAAAACAAATCATACTCGTTTATGATGTCAATAGTTATTTCTAACATTAGACCAGTGTAATTAAATGGCCAAACCTTTAACGTGAGCTATCCCTCAAAGTAGAAATGAGCAAATAAATTGATGTTTTCATTCTAGATCAGATAAGTATGTCATCAGCTCAAACCAAGCCGAACTGTAGCAATTTAGGGGGTGTTTGGGATTGCTTATTTGAAACAATTTATGTTTTTCTACAAAAGCATTTGTCAACTTATTATAAGTCGTAAGGGTTTAACTTTATCAAAAACTTCTTATTACCGGTTTGGCATCGGTATAAGTTGTTTATCCAAACACTCAAAAGTGTTTATTACCGGTGCCACACCGGAATAAGTCAATAAGTTATTTTTATAAGTAATCTCAAACAACCCCTTAATCAGTTTCACTCTTTTTAGACGGACCAATTCAAATGAACTTTGGAATTCAATTACAAAGAAATTCAACAAGCTTTTGGGGTTGGAATGTCTTCCCCGTTTGGTCAAGCTAGCAAGGCATCAGAACCACATAAATCGAATAAAAACATAAATCATATCGGATAAAGCCCTGGGCGGTAGCCCTGACTTAATCCATAACAGGTCAGATCGGGACGATCTAAGTTTTTATGAATTGTTTTGACAAGTCTATTAACCATACCAGCTATTTCAAGACTGGTCCATCTTCGTCTTTGCACAAAAGTGTGCACCGTACTGGATGGTTTAGGAGCATCTCCAATGGAGGTTTTTATATGAACCCACTTTTTGTGCTTCTTGTTTTATAACGTCCAATTTATCAAATTAAGAACACACATAAAACTCCACATCAGCAAGAACCCTTTTTGTGGGTCCTAATAAAATACATAAAAACTTGAAATGTCATTTCACACAAAGTCAAGGTAAGAACCAATGTTCTGGTACAAAAACCCCAAGGACACAAAGGGCTAACTTGGTTTGACAAATGTTTTTGAGGGATTTCGACTTCCTGGAAGGATTTGAAATCTTTAGTGTGTTTGATTTGTGAAATCTGGAATGAAGTTGAATTTTATTTTCTTCATAAATAATTTATAGAAACAAATTATAAAATAACTAAATTGTAATTTTATTAATAGGTTAATATAAAACAAATGTTTTTAACATATTTGAAAGCAGTATTACAAAAAAATTATATGAAATACTGTAAAATACCACCCACCTCCATAAAATTTCTAAATTCGATGTATTCAAATTCAGGCATTCTTTCAAACCAAACATTGGATAAAAATGGAATTTAAGTCGTAAGACCATGTTTGGGGGCTGACGCCTGCCCAGTGCCGGAAGGTTAAGAGCTGCTTTTCCAGCCGAGAAAGTTGAGCCCCCCACTGGGGCCCCACTATGCCAAAAGCGAGAGAAACCTCGTCCCTCTTTTTTCTTTTTTCTTTGCCATTTGACAACTGAATCTTATTTTTTCCGTTATTTTCAAATCCCGCAAAACAAAACGGACCTAAAAAGAAAATAATTGTTTGGGGATCAAATATGAATGGTTCTTACAATTACAAGGGCTAAAATGACATAAGTTGAGAAGATGAAGGGTTAGGAAGAAAATTGACCAACAGCGATATAGCTCTGCTACTAACGGGCCTTTCGGGTTTCGGCTAAGGTTTCATGGCGGTCTCTGTAATACCAACACCACTTCAATGGCGTCCTGTTGGTGACGATAATGTTAACGGTCTCTTCACCCACCGTTCATTAATCTCCACTCCGCTGCCGTGCCGTCGGCTTTCAACCGTCGTATGCTCGTCATCTCTCAGTAAGTTTCTTAATATCCACTTCCTTCCACCACCGTCGATGCAAAATCGATCTTTCGTTTCTGAAATTCTTAACGTATGAATGATTAATTTGGTTTTTTTGGGGGTTATGATGTCAGAATCGCCTAAATCTAACGAGGAGACGAGGGAGTTACTCAAACAATACGGTCTTGATCCCGACGAATTCCTCTCTGAACCTACTCCTTCGAAGGTCCGTCAATCTATCTCTAATAGTTAAAACCTAGGTTGTGCTGTTTTGCATCTATATTTGATTAGTAGGTATGATTTGAATAAAGTTGAATGAGGGTTTTTACTCAGACGAGAAGGAATAAAGAGCAGCAAAAGAGTGGAAGAGGGAAGCAGGTCGCACCACCACAGGAACAAGCTAAGCCCAGGGAGACTCATAAATTGCTTCAGGTATGTGGAATATCTTGCTTCTTCAGCTGTATTGTATCAACCGTTGTTATAAAATAAGATTATAGGAGAAAAGTGCAGCAAAAACAATTAGGACTGATTTGTCACTGTCCTTAGGATATTATTAGCCCCTGCTAAACAATGTTGTTTGGGTTATGGCTAATATATGTTTATCAATGAACATTCTGCAGAAATTGTATGAAGGAAAGGAGATGATTAAGATAAGAGATAAAAATGATGAGAAAATTATATATATATATATAGAGGTTGGTTATTATACAACCCTTGACATTTGTGCAACCAATACAACCCAATCTCAACCGTCCATTTCATTTGATTAATATATGATTTCATAGAAGTTTTGATTGTTTCCTAATATAAAGTATTGATCATAATTAATGAACCATATTCATCTTCCATAAATATTCAAATCATCATAAATAAACTCTCATCGTTTCCATAAATATCTCAATTTATTTGGTTGCATTGGTTGTACAAATGCGACGGGTTGTATTTGAAACAAACTCTCTCTCTCTCTCTCTATATATATATAGAGGTTGGTTATTATACAACCCTTGGCATTTGTGCAACCAATACAACCCAATCTCAACCGTCCAATTCATTTGATGAATATGTGATTTAATAGAAGTTTTGATTGTTTCCTAATATAAAGTATTAATCATAATTAATGAACTTTATTCATATTCTATAAATATTCAAATCATAATAAATGAACTCACATCATTTCTATAAATATCTCAATTAATTGCGTTGCAAGGGTTGTACAAATACACAAGGTTGTAAAAGAAATATACCCTATATATATATGTATATAGGTCTGTGTCTCTAACTGATTTGGATAAGAAAAAACCGACAATAGATTTTATCCAAATCAGAAACCATGAAAAACCTGTAAAAAAGGGTCAGAAATTCGCCAAACAGTTAGCTAGGCGACTTATCTGGCTGAAGTGGCAGGGGAAGTCACCAAGACACTGTTCCCGTTCAAATATTCCAGAAAGCCACGCAGTACTGTCTTTTGACCGTTAAATATATGTGTAAAATCAACACAACAAAGCCAAATCTTCCTTAGCTTATCTAATCCCTTACACAATTCAATAAGATGTCAGAGATTGTAAACTAAAGAACACTATATCACTCTTCCAATGTGGTACAAGTGATATGCTTTAATGTTCATACATATAGCTCACAAGACAAATAAGATTCTCTATACTTTCTACGAGGGACAAAATCTCACTATAAAGAGTTGAAGACCATATACACGACAGTTATTTGGCTATAAACTTCAAGTCTCACGAAATTAAGCATCCCGAAGACCGAAGTATATATAATTATTTAGCATAGAAGTCAATAGGATCACTTAAAATTGTAATTGCTTATTTTTCTATATAACAATGCATCCAACCCAGTCATAGAAATTGTTATTTTGATGACCAAATATTCCATAGAATATTAAACCTAAAAAATAGGAAAATCTGTCACAAACACTAGAATCTGAAGGACTATTCAGAGCTAGTTTTCTACAAATAGAAGGAATGCTTCATTTTATTATATAACACAACCTGATTACTCCTGATGGTTCAAAAAGAACCCCACAATTGATTTTTGGATGTCAAATTGACTTCTTTGAAAAGCTAATCATTGTAACAATTTTTTGGGTTATAGAGAAAAGTTAAAAAATTGAGAACCATGTTCTTCTTCAACATACTTTCAAGTAATAGGCTCTAGACACATTATTTTGGATACTATATGTTTGTTTATGATTCTGATTGTTTGTAGTGGAACTGATGAAACTATATTTGACTATTAGTTGGGGCCTATAGCTTAATGAGTTTAATAGCATTCACAACTTATTCTTTCAGCTATACATGACTGTTTGATAGTGGCTTAATGATATAGAAAGTGGCTTATTCTATAAGCTTCTAGGGGGAGCTTTATGTAGAAAGCCAAGTTTTTTTTTTCCAAACATGTCCCTCTCAATTAAAAAACATGCTTCTTCCATCTATGAAAAAACCCTTCCAAACAAAAACCTTTCTGATCTATACAGACATATTAATCCACAGTGACATTTTTATCTTAATGGAAAACCAACCAAACAACCCCTCGGTCATATTAGCTCAACCACGAAGATCGAGAAGAGTGTATTTCCTGTTAAAGAGAAGAATGAATTTTGGTGAAATTATTTTATTGGTCACAAATGTATCCTGTTGATGGTGTTTAAAAGTCCCTGATTAGAATCACTTAAGCGGCCACCAGGTATTAAGCATCCATCACCACATTGATTAGTGAAGGCCGTTTAATTGGCTACATACAACTTAAGCATCCTCTACTACTTCTGTTAGAAACAAATCATTTAACTAAGTGTTTCAAAAATTTAGGCAGAGTCAATCAACCTTTCTGAACTTGTGCTTGTCAATTGGCGTCTCTCAACTTAGAGGGAATCTTCTGCTATAAACTAGAATCCAAATCAGTAATGGACAAATAATGAAGATGAAAACAGACCAATCAGATGATTACTTAAATGGAAAACAAGGAACTCTAGCATTCGAGAGGCTCGCACTCTCCCATAGACCGCTCACGAAGTTTCTGCATGACTCCCATCCCCTGCATCCTCCCTATTATACTAAATATCTATTCTAAGTACCCAAATAACCCCTTCTTAACTATTATAGAATATCAATTAGGAATGGGCTTGGGCCTCTAGATGTACAGAAATGATAACGTATCGAAATCTTAAGTGCATGACATCTTTTCATTCGTTGATTGTACAGAAATGATAACGTATCGAGATCTTAATTCTTATATGTCTACATGATCTAAAAATAATTGTTTTTAATATGCTGAAATGAACTGCTTATGGTTCTGTTGGAGCTCAGAGGATTAGAGCACAAGGTCATGCTTAGGTGTCCCCTTATTCCCACCTTAGGTGATTAAGCGCTAGGTTACTCAACCGCCTAAGGGCCTGTTTGTTAGCAGCTTAACGAGCTTAATGAAACTCACAGCTTATTTGGTCAGCTATACATGACTGTTATTAGTGGCTTAATGATATAGAAAGTGGCTTATTCAGTAAACTTCTAAAGGGGAGTTTTATGCATAAAACCAAGTTTTTTTCCCAAACCTACCCCTCCTAACTAAAAAAACGCTCCCTTCACTTATGAAAAACTCTCCCAAATAAAAACCATCCCAATCTATAAAGACAGATTAATCCATACATACAACATCCACACAAGACTTTGAAAAACCAACCAAACATCCCCTAACTCTGCTTATCGCTTTTTAGAACACCTCTTATTGACGTTATAAATGGTAGGTTCTTGGAGGGAAGGCACGAAGGAAGAAATTACTCTCACCAAAGGGCATGGATGTCCGCCCAATGATGGAAGTAGTCAAAGGTGCCGCCTTTGGTATTTTGCAGGTACTGATTTGCTGTTTATGTTGGCTGTTTCTAATGTACCTTCATCTTAATATGAGAAAAGGCGGATTTCTTTTGCAAATTTTGTATTAAGATAAGAAAATGTCTACTTTGTCAAGGCTGCTGGTGGCTGTCCTACATCCTTGAGGCCTGGTCGATGGTTAGACTTATATAGCGGTACAGGGTCTGTTGGCATAGAGGCTATAAGCCGAGGATGCTCTGAGGTATCATCTCTTCTTTATGACACTTCTATAAATTCCTATTTTGATAATTTAGCACTACCAAGCTATTTTGAAAGCCTAAAACTTGTCAAGGTAAGTAGCTTTTTGATGTATCTTGGTGCGTTTGGTACCCATACAGGCCAGAACAGAGAGAACAGCTGTTCAATGTTTGGTAAGATGTGATTGGTAAAATGACCAATGTACCCTTAATGAATTGTTTATATTTCTATATTTTGATTAATTTATTATTTTAATAATCAATTAATTACATAAATTAACCAAAATATAGACAACAAATAAAAATAGTATTTTGAGGAGAGTAAAGTGGAAGTTTAAAGATAATAAAATACGATAAATAAATTTCCAAGAACTGATAAAATGTAAAGAGGGAGACATATTTGATGTTTTAGAAGAGAATTAGGTTTTATTTTGAGGTATATTGGTAAAATATAGCTTGTTCCACGTTCCACCCTGTTCCACATAGAAGTCATGCCAAACGTGGAACAATGATCTGTGTTTTCTTCGACCTGTTCAGGTGCTAAAAATTGATATCGTATCCTTGTCTCTTGTTTTTATGGTGTTGCTAATTTATTTCAATTGGTTTGATGGCAAAGAGCTTACTACTTTATTGCGAACTTGCAGGTGCATTTTGTGGAGATGGATCCATGGGTTGTTTCTGACGTTCTTCGTCCTAATTTAGAATGGACTGGCTTTCTTGATAATTCGGTTATACACACAGTTCGTGTAGAAACTTACTTGGAGCGTGCCAAAGAATCTGCAGGTGTTTGACCTCCTCCCCCCCTGCAATCATGTGAAAATCACTTCAATACTGCATTTAGGTTGCATTTGGTACACTGGACAGGACAAAACGGAACATGGATCATTGTTCCACGTTTGGTAGGACTTTTATGTGGAACAGACAGGTTCGAAGTGGAAAAGGCATGTTCCACCCCCACCCATGGAACAAGGTGGAACATAATAATATTTTACCAATATAACCTTGAAATAAAACCTAATTCTCTTCTAAAACATCAAATACGCCTCCCTCTTTACATTTTATTCATTTTTTAAATTGTATTTATTGTATTTTATGCTCTTTAAACTTTCAATTTTACTGTTCTCAAAATATTATTTTCATACGGTTTCTATATTTTGATTAATTTCTGTAATTTATTGAATATTAATAATAAAAAAATAACTGTTCTATCATAACCTGTTCTGTTAAACAACTCATTAGGGTTAAATTGGTCATCTTATTTGTTTTGTCCTGTTCAGTTCTGTCTTATCAAATGCAAAATAGTTGTTCTGTTATGTTCTATTCTATCCTATCCTGTTTGGATACCAAACGCACATAGGGAACATCTAATGCTGCAGGCCTATATTGTTTAGTGCAACCCTTGTCTTCTTTATGCACCAGAAACTGTAATTCTTGTTTTTTTTTCTTTTCGTTAACAAATTGTGGCTACTTCTTTGCAGGCAAAGATGGTCCATTTGATTACATTAGTGTCACACCTCCATATACGCAAGTGGATTACAAGATCTTAATGAATCAAATTACAGAATCATCTGTGATCGGAGATGATTCTTTTATGGTAAGTTTTGCTGTATTCTTTACCCATCTATAACCTTTTTCCAAGTTCGGATTGCTTTGGTATCTTATCTTTGATTACCACTCTATAGCTTGTGGAGTATCCATTCCGAACCGACATGCTGGAAACATATGGGGGTCTTGTCAAGGTACTTTCTATAGCTATTAATATTTGCACTTTGTATTATGACTGCTTCATACCAGATGCAATTTAGAAGAAGTAGTCCCCAGGGGCGGACCCACATGGCATGATATCATGGCACGGGCCACCGCTTCATGGTTCCATCGTAAGGGAAAAAAATTATGTTTTTTGAAGGGTGCCACCGTATTGTTTTGTTGGGTGCCACGTTATAGTTTTGAAACTGAAATGTTTGCACAAGACTTTAATGGCTAAGATGGTAAACACTCCTGCCTTTTTACAAAAGGCCCAGGTTCGAGTCCCCACGGTTGTCAAATTTGTTGTTTTTAGCTTAAATTTTGGTGTTCTTTTATATACCTCTTGTGCTTTTCAAATTATATGTAGAGCGGACTCGAACATGGGTCTCTTTTATGTAAGGACAAGGAACCAACCAACAAATTTATACTTATATTGTGAAAAAAAAAATTAGATACATTTTTATAGTCAAATTGTGCCACCACTTGAAAATTTCTGGGTCCGCCTCTGGTACTTGCTCCGTCTCATAACAAGTGTCCACATTAATCACTCCTTCTATTAGTAAGGTAAATTTGTCATTTGGTTAATTTAAAAGTGTAACAATTATACATTTTTATAAAACTGTGTGTTTTTCATTATGGACATCTATTTTGGGAAGGTGGGAGTAGTTATCTAGAGAATACAAGCCATGATATCTACTACTCCCTCTGTCCCAAATTAAGTGTCCACATTACTATTTTAGTTTGTCCTAAAATAAGTGTCCACTTTCAAAAGTAAGTTTCAGATTTCCCATTTTATTCTCAATTATGAGATGGAAAAAGTCTCTCTCTATTATCAAGGGTAAAAGTGTCATTTAGTATTTTAAAGATGTAATGATTACACATTTCTAAAACTGTGTCATTTTCGTTGTGGACATTTAGGGGCTGTTTGGTTGGTTTTTCATCAAGTCCTGTATGTGTAAAGCTGTCTGTGTGGATTAATTTGTCCATTTAGATTGCAAAAGTTTTGTTTGGGAGGGTTTTCCGTAGATGGAAGGAACATGTTTTTTAATTGAGAGGGACAGGTTTGGAAAACACTTGGCCTTTCTGCATAAAGCTCCCCCTAGAAGCTTATTGAATAAGCCACTACCAAACAGTCATGTATAGCTGACCAAATAGGCTGTGAGTCCCATTAAGCTCATTAAGCTGCTAACAAACATGCCCTTATTTTGGTATTCATGGAGTGTATTGAATTCTTCATGTGCATGATGCAAACTTGTAGTTAGCTGATCGCCGGTTTGGAAGGACACACCTAGCAATATACGGTCCCAAGTGGGCACAAAAGAAGCGAAGATCATGAGCTTCAAATCAGATTGAAGTCGGAGCCTTTTGGTTGGGCTACGGCAGATCTACTTTACAGAATCAAGGTGTACGCAAGTTCAAAATACTCGTTCAGTTGGTGTTCATACTTACCGTTGTTACCTTGATCAACCTCAGCATATTTGCACGGTAAGCAACCCATCCATGCGAACCATCACATTTTGCAAATGGCAGATTTCTCTTTCATGTATTTGCAGCATGTGAGAGAAACTTCATATTGGAGGCTTATAGCATTATTAGCACCTTCAAACCTCCAAAGTTTCCGAGTTAATGTGAGAGATGAATAATTAAGTTGAATCAAATTAGAATTTTCAAAAAATGTAAGATCCCATTCAGAAATCAGTACTGTAAGCTCCTGACATGAGTTACAAACATTTATTAGCATCTTATTTTTTTGGCGTACAATTTCCTGTCCATATTTTATTAACACAGAACTTTCTTTGCTTTATGAACCTTGCTTTGCTTTACCTGAGAACAAATCGCTTGTTGCTTACCATGTCTAGATTTCTCAAAATTTAGCTTATCTGCAGTTTTCCCTTTCACACACTTTTCACGAAACAACCACTCTACTTTTTTAGGATAGAGATCAGTTCTGCGTACATCTTTACCCCCTGGACCCCCACCTCCGGGTGGGATATATTGGGCTCGTTTGGTTTATTTTTTTGTTTTATTGGTGCCTGTGATCGTACACCTTCTAATAGGCAATAGAACTCGGAGGGGGAAGATTCACATAGTGAAGCTAAAAATAATTTGAAACAAAAACCTGAGTCAAGTTGAATCTTTAGAACTTAAATGTAGCGTCGGCAAGATTATGTATATTCCTGGTAAAGTAGGAAACATGTTTGTTTGAACTAGAAGTGGACCACTGGCAGATACTTGGTGTTTTAGGAGAGCAACCTCTTTTGTTTTCTCTTCCCATGAGACAATAAAGAAAGCTATATGTCTAGAACTCTAGATACTATAAAGTGTTGGTCATACCTCAAGATTTAGAAACTTTTTTTATATGTTCCTTTCATAAGCAGTGACAAATAAGAATCTGGAATTTAACTTGGGGGTTGTTTGGTTGATTTTCCATTAATTCCTTAATAGGTAAAGGGGTGTGTGAGTTAATCTGTCTGTATAGACTGAGAAGATTTTTGTTTGAGAGATTTTTTTTTTTCATATATGGAAGGAACGTGGTTTTTAATGAGCAAGTTCGGAATTTTTTTTGGCTTTCTACATAAAGCTCCCTCTATAAGCTTACTGAAAAATCACTTTCTATATCATTAAGCCACTGTCAAACAGTCATGTATAGCTGACCCACTGAATAAGCCGGGAGTCTTATTAAGCTCCTAGCATACAGGCCCTTAGGCTCGAGATGTATGTATGTATGTATATATGTATGTATATATATATATATATATATAAATAGAGAGAGGGGTCGGGGAAAAACCCCCAAAAAAAGGAAAAATTGAGGAACACTCTAATAACAGTTCATCTGTACGGTATGAACACGTGCATTCAAGTAATTGAAGATGTTTCTTGGTTTCTATGCACTTGCAAATGTGCATACTATACAGATGAATGGCTAGGGTGTTCCTCAGTTTTTTATTCTTTTATATATATATATATATATATATATATATATATATATATGCAGTCAAGTGGTGATTATATCAATTGGGATCTTCAAGTAGGGGAGTACAACTTCTTTTTGCACCATTAACAGAACTTGTTGTTTTCTAGCTTATAGTTGTCAACTGACTGCAATCTTTAGCAGAAGTATTCAATTTCATAAAACTGTACTTTTATCTAGGTTTGCACATAATTCAATGTATTCTTAAGCATCTATCTATTTCTATATGTTAGGAGTAGGGAAGATGAGTGAGATCACAAATGCACATGACAAAGCATCGGTAAGTTTTTTTTTTTTTTCTGTGGACCCAACCAATCACAACCTAAAGCAACAATACTTGTCAAAAGTTCATCTATTTTTTTACCTTTTATCTAAATAACATCTCTCTGAGAAAGAAAAAGTGCAACAGAATTGCTTGTAGTATTCCATCATTAAAGAAAAGTGGTCTCTCTTCCCCCTCCTTAGTTAAAAATATGAGTAAATTACAATTTTCGTCCCTGTGGTTTGTTAATAATTTTGATTTTCGTCCTTGTGGTTTAGAAGTTGCGATTTTCATCCCTATGATTTGTAATTCATTGCTATTTTTGTCCTTATAATAAATTGTTATTTCCGTCCTTGTGGTTTACATACTGTTTTGGTTATTGACGAAGGATTGTGTAAGAATAGGAGTTAAAGTGAGAAGTGTAAGAAGGGATTTGGACCCTTGATCACTTTAAATCCTAAAACAACCCATGAATTGCGCTTTAGTTAGGAATTGATCTAGTGTATCTCATATTCTCATTAGTGTTGATCTAGTGGTTTTCTTCAATTAGAATTGATCCAAGTGTGGAGATCCCTTCTTACCCTTCTCACGATAACTTCCATTCTCACCGGAACCCAATCCCTTGGTCCCTTGTACTTAAAAGGTAAGAATTAGTCCAGGGACAAAGATAACAATAAATTGCAAACCATAGGGACGAAAATTGCAATTTCTAAACCACAGGGATGATAATTGAAATTACTAACAAACTACAGGGTCGAAAATCGTAATTTACTTTAAAAATAACTACACACATCACCTTCCCCTGCTTTTCTCTGTCTCTGTGTGTGTGTGTGTGTGGCTGACTTATATATCAAAGGCAGGGAGATGCATTATCCTGGTGCCAAAACCACCATGATTGTTATAAGTTCATCATCATCATCATCATCATCATCATCATCATCATCCATAAGTCTTAATTTCCAAGAATTCTGTTTTGTTGAGAACATCTAAAGGGGTAATTTGGTAAATGGGGGGTTTAGAATAAGGCATGGGAGGGAACAGCAGGGTGTTTTTCGCGGGAATACTATTAGTGGGGTTTTGCTGTTTTTTGTTATTTGAAGTTTCTACAATCACACAAGTCGCAATTCCGCCCACTGCACGTGTTGGTGTTTCCAATTCAAAAGGAGGAGCAGCAACAAGAAGGCACGAAAGGCTGGCTCTGAACTACGTGAGCAAAAGACGAGTACCAAATGGACCTGATCCTATTCACAACAGGTATGCCATTATTCACACATGCATATTCAATTATTCATTGTGTGTTTATATCATCTTTAGCACTGTTAATATGATAAAGATCCAATAGAAGTACACTAGAGGGTCAGTTTGCAAAAACGAGATATGGAGGTTAGTGAGTTTAATAGCCCTTGAGGTGATATGTATGCAGAACTGACCTTTATCTGAAAGAATAGAGTGGTTGTTTTCATGAATACTGCTAAATATTATAAAATTTAATGTTGGATTGTTGGAGTCTCACATTGGCCAGAATTGGACCATTTCTTCTTTATATATCTGTTGGAACTCCTTTCTCTTCTTTGAAGTTCTACATTTTCTCACAGTTAAAAGTATGCTTAAAAGTTCAATAAGTGATTTTGCATGCATTGGCATGTCAAGCTTGTACTTCATCATACTCTTTATGTTTTTCGTTCAGGAAAATCGGAAACGCCACACAACCGCCTGAACGAGACTAAGTTTGACATAAAACGACTTGTGTACATGGAAATATGTCCGGGAACCAACGTAGAAGAGCCACACGAAGTTTCTACGGATTTCCTTCCATTCTCAAAAAACCCGTTACATAATCTTTTACACTCGAGATAGCGATCATGATACCTCATCCGACATCCATGACATGTTTTTTTGTTCGGTTTTACGAAAGAAAGTATGAAGCTTTTTTAAAAGGTGGTGTTAAGGGTGTTTTTGGTGTAGTTCTTTTAAGTTTGAATTGAAAGATTCATGGATTTGGGGATGTTTAAATTTTAGATGGAAAAAAGGAATGAAATCTAATAGAATTTGTGTGAGAGATGTGTAGTAAAAAAGATGCATTGTTAAAAGGAGAATTGTCTTTGCTTTTTTAGCTTTGAGCTTTAAGGGGTTGGCTTTATTCCTCTCGTTAAGTGGGGTGTGTTCCCTAAATAAAGCACTTTTTTTATTTTCAAAAAAAATATTTTTTTAAATCAGTTTCTTTTTCGGAAGAACGGCCGACCAAAGGATCGAAGCCGACAATGAAACCTTTGTTGTTTGGTTTGGATGCAAATAGACTTAACCCTTGGGCTCGAAATAGGCGTTGCTAGCCTGCTAATGCCCTTGTGGCTATGGAGGTTCACCGCAGGCACTTTTTGTTGCTCGGGGGATTAGTAGGTATGCATAAACTGGCTTGGAAACCCACGGTTACGAAAAAACAAATTGATTTGAATGATATGAAACCCTATGGACTAATTGGGCTAAAGATCAGTTAAAACTGCAAAAACGAATTGTTATAAAGAAAATCTTTCATATAAAAGGGTCATCGGACTAATGGTATCTGAGTTAACGGTTCAAATTTTATCAATTGTGAGAAGTGTAAGTATTTGGTGCATATAAATTTTATATATTAAAAAAAGTACCTATTCACGTGTTTTCAAAATTAGGTCTTTGTTACATTATGTTCTCGAGACTTACTTTTACGAATGAAAGGGAGGGGAAAAAAAGAATATCTTCTTTTCTTTTCTTCCAAATTCAAGAACACGTTGTAATGCACATAACCCTCGTAGGACTTTGGCAATAAGGCTTGAGCCTTTGAGGATTCTTCTGCCATCGGTTCGAATCCTATAAGCCCACTGGGTATTTTTCAAACTGTTTTTCCGAGCCTCTAGAATTAGTTAAGGTGTGCACAAGTTGGTCCAAACATCGACGATTAACAAAAAGATGCTTGTACAACTTGACGAAATGGGACTTAAGACATGGTTTTTGACAAAATTGTAGGAGTTGTCCTATGTATTTGATGGGATAATAGTTTAAGTACATATTCATGGTTTTTGTTAATTAGGTATGGAAGAAAAATAACCACCTTAAATTAAGTTTCAATGCTCACATGTTTGTATGAAAATAGTTAGCTTCTTTGTTTTTAAGGTTAGGATCGTGTTAGAGGGTGTTCCAATGTGTCATATAGAGAAAGAACCCTAAATGTTTTGGGGCCCAATTAGACTATTCCTATATATATATATATGTCTTAAGCTACGGTCTGTTTATCATGTTTTAGTTTTATTTCTTTATTAATTTGGAGATTTCTGACCTTTTAAGATCAGATGAATTTTATATGTTACTTTGTCATTTTAAACATTTTGTTGTTTTCATTTGTAAAACTGATATGGAACCTTTTTATTTTGTTTTAACTATTACATGTCTCGTCAATCTATAGTGTTGGCATATGTAACAAGATCTCCAAAAAAATTGGAACACTGTTGTTTAAAGTAGAAGACAGTGTTTGTTTATGTCTTACATCTGAAATCCCAATTGTTAGTGGAATTTATTGGACTCGGTGTGTTAAACCATCTCAAAATAAGTGTCCAGAATGAAAAACAAAATACAGTTTTAGAAAATGTAATTATTACACTTTTAATAAACTAAATGATAGTTTTAGGTGGCGTTTGTTTTTTAACCGAAGTCTGATTTATAAGGGTGGTCCTAAAGTTTGATATCTGAATTGTTTGTTTTCACGTTTGAAGTTTGAAATCTGAATCAGTCAAACAAGTGCAAAAATATAAAAGATAAATAGTTTTTTTTACAAAAATATAAAAGATAAATAATTTTTGCTAACAAATCTCTTTCAGCCCCCAAAATATGAACTATTTAATGGAGGGTGGATTAGAATTAAAACGTATTAAGAGATACGTTTACCACTTAAAATTTCAGAGGACATTTAGAGCTTTTAAGCTCTTATTTTAGAAATAAAACAAACGCTCTTAATACCCAAACGTCTGAACGAATTAGACTTCAGAAGTATTAAGAGATAATTTTGAAAAAAAAAAAGAGGCCCTTACTCTTAGTAATAAGTAATTAATTTTCTCATTTCTCAATTAAGGATAGAATGAAAAAGTATGCACTTATCTTTTAAAAATGAACATTTATTTTGGAATAAATTAAAACAAAAATATAGACTTTTAGGTCTTGTTCGTTTTTTCCATTTTTAGCTCTTAATTACTACTTATGTTTGATTCATTCAGACATTTTGTAATCCAGACTGTTTTTTATTTTTTTTATTTTCAGTGTCTCATATCACTTAATAGGGTCTGAATAAATAAGAGGTAAACTAATATTTTAGTTCCTCTTATTTTCTTTTTTCTTTGATTCTCTTTGGTTGTTGCTTCTTTCTCCACTAGGGATGTCACCGTCCTTTCATCATCCATGTAACATGCATCCCAACCTTCTCTCTCTCTCTCTCTCTCTCTCTCTCTATATATATATATATATATATATATATATATAATTTATGTACATATAAGTTAGCTTAGAAGATTAATGTGAAACAAGAACTTTTACTGCCGATCTATACTCTATTAAAAATATCGATCTTTCTGCAAACAAACTCACCGGCAGCATTCTGATAGCATCGGAAGTCTAAAAGGTATCCAAAAGGTTCTTATTGTGTTCCATCTATTAAAAAAATTGTTGAGATGAATTTCGACAATGGAAATTTTATGAAAATCAAGAGAATTTTGCAAAATGTTTGCACCGTATTTTACAAAAAAAAAACTATTGATTAAGATTTCAAACTTTAGACGTTTGTCAGTTTATAAAAACAAACAGTCTTATTAATTCAGATCTCAGACTTTAACACCATCTCTTATTAATCAAAAGTAAAATAAAACTTCAAACTTTAACACCTCTCAAAAAACAAACACTGGTTTAATTTGATACAGAAAAAATAATAATTTAAAGTATTTATAGTATTTGGACAAAGAATAAAGTTGCTAACATTCTCTCTCTTTAGTTGTCTTCTTTTTTTTCCATCTTGTGTTTTCTTTTGTGGTTATTATTTGAAAGTTTCAAAGGAATTTTGGTCACAAAGTGTCCCCAAGATTCAAAACTTAAAGGAACCCATTTGCCACTCCACAAATTCTTCTTTCCAATCTTTTGGTTAGGTGTTTAGAATTGTTTATAAAAATAATTTAATGACTTATTTTGGTGTAACACTGGTAATAAGCATTTTTAAGTGTTTGGATAAACAACTTATATCGGTATCAAACCGGTAATAAGAAATTTTTGAAGAAGTTAAACTATTCTAACTTATAATAAGTTGATAAGGACTTTTGTAGAAAAGATTAAGTTGCTTCAAATAAACAATCTCAAACACCCATTTTATGAAGATTAGATATAAGTTGGTATTTAAATACATTATCATCTTTTATTACAAGAAACTATGTTTTTTGTATTTTTTTTTAAATAGAACTAGAAGGGTACTCGTGTAATGCAGCAAGATATATCTCGATTTTAATATTTCGTTTTATTTTGTCTCTGTAGATGTTTTAATACGGTTTTTGTGGTTTTAAGAAAAAGATAATGTTTTTATTTTTGAACAAAATATAACTTTGAAGATATTATAAAATTTCGAAAATAAATATATCAATATTTGTATTAAATTAACCATTTTAAAAGTTCTTGTTTTTTTTTTTTTGTAATTTCTCTAATTCAATTTTTTTAATAATTTAATTTAGATTTAATAACAAAGTAATTTATTTTTGATTTAATAATATAATTTTTTATAAGAATAATGATCAAGCAATGCTATTAGAATTCAATAATTATTCTAATTATATTTAAAATGAAATGTTTATCTTATATTTAATTATGTTTATCTGCAGACAGCAGTTAGTTACACGAATTCAAACATAAGGCTTTTAATAAGTTGTACTTAGACTAAAATCTTACCAAGTAAGTGATAATGTTGATTTTTACAGGTAAACACTTACCCCGGTAAGCATTAGATAAACGGCCCCAAAATACAATAAGATAGTTTGGTTTATTTCTTATTTAGTGCAACAAATAAATTTTTCTCAATTCCAAAATTTCTTATTACGTACCTATTTTTAATCAGTAACCTGCTAATCTTTTAACATTTGATGACATGGATACCAATTTATAAAATGATTATGGCAAGATAGATGATAAACTTGACATCTATGTCATCAAATGTTACAAGATACACAATACTGATCAAAATGTGTTGAACAGAAACTAAAACATCCTTCATTGCATTTTGATGCCGCACTCAGCAAAGATTAATGAAATCATTTCAAGCAAAAAGAATGATGATAATGAACTATGGCAAGTTGCATATGCAAGATATGGTTTCGGGCTACATACCTCGCGGTTTCGGTTTAAAAACAAAGCCGAGCATGCAAATCACTACCATTTTATGGCATTGCTGATATACATTTCTCGATGGATGTTTACTACTTGTTGCCGCCTCTTATCGGGTAAGAGGTTCTTCCCCGAGAAGAAGGAATGTAGTTTATTATCAAACTCCGAACAACAAATATGCTAACCAAAATGTTGATCAAGCACGAAGAGGTTGCTTTTCCGACTCAATCATGGCTTCAGTCAACGCTTACACAGACACTTGGTAAACAACCATTTTCAGTCAGTAGTTTCCCAGATCAAGCCTCTTAACCGGACAGCAGATTTAGGGGTTGTTTGGTTGGTTTTTCACTAATTCCTTGTATGGAAGAAGTTGTCTATGTGGATCAATATGTCTTGTATGAATTGAGAAGGTTTTTCATAGAAGGGTTTTTCATAGATGGAAGGGTTGTGTTTTTAACTGAGATGGACATAAACTTCCCCCTAGAAGCTTACTGAAAACCACTTTCTCTATCATTAAGCCACTACCAAACAATCATGTATAATTCACTGAAATAAAAACATCTCCAAACGATTCTCCAAAATAAAGAATCAAAATTCAAAATCTCTAAAAAAAACATTGTGTTCATCTCCAACTGTTTCTCCATTTTGGAGATTACAATATTCATTATATTACTAAAACATTCCATAGGTTCAATAAAGTATTATTTATCTCCCCTAAACTTTTAATTTCAAGATTTCCTATTGGTGGAATATAATAAAGAAATGTTTCACTCACGTTTGGAGGTTTTTGCACTCTCTCTCCTACTTTCTCCATTTTGGAGAAAGTTTTGGGGAATTTGCTAGAGCAAAAAATTGCTCAAAATCCCGATTTTCTCCATGTTGGAGAAGCTGTTGGAGGGATGCTCTAAGCTGCAAGTCCCGTTAAGCTGCTAATAAACAGACCTTTACTCAGTTAGTGCTTAGTTGCTTAACCAATTTGTGTTGGTATACGGCCCAGAGTTGGCAAGAATAGCATCAGCATGATCAAATCAAACGATGAGCAAAGCTATACATGGAGCTGATACACGCATTTGTTTAGTAGAACTGATGGCAAATAGGCAACTATTAGATATCATATAAATGATCAAATATCATCAGACCAGTGAATTATTATACACTACAAATCATAAATACTTGGAAGTCCGTCTTGAAATGATACCCAAAGAGCATTTTTGAAGATATGCCGAAAGTAATAGCTTCAGAAGCTTGTATAATATTGTACATCTATATATTTGACAAGCATAGAATGAATTGGAACAGCCAGATAAACTAGAGAGCACAGGATCTACATCAAGCAGGCTTCAGTAAACAATTTGCAGAAATAGTTATTAGCTTTCGGCATTATAGCTTAAATAGCATCATTATGTATGCCATAAAGAAGTGGGAACTCATCATGATGTTCAGATAAACCTAGTTCTTGTGCCATTGTATTCAATGCTTCATAAACCTGAAACATAGACCATCTTGATCTGGGATTAGAAGTAATGCAATTACCTGCAATTCTCAGAAATTGAACAATATCCGCATCATGACCTCTGCCACGAAGATTCTTATCTATGGCATTCTTGATTTGACCTGAGCCTGATAGCTGATTTACCCAATCGACTAAATTACCTTTAAACCCTTCTTCGGCACCTGTTACATCTGCAGGTTTCTGGCCGGTTGCCAGTTCCAGAAGCACTACCCCAAAACCATAAGTATCACCTTTCAGAGAAGCAACCATGGTGGTCGAATACTCTGGGGCCACATAACCAAACTCACCCAGATCACCATTAACATAGCTACTATCGCCTGGGTGGTTAGAGGAAGTATTCATGAGCTTAGCCAATCCAAAATCCACTATTCGAGCATCATAATCCTCATCAAGAAAAATGGCATTAGAGCTAACATTTTGATGCAAGATTGGAGGCCGGCAGCCATGGTGAAGCCAAGCTAACCCTCTTGCTGCACCCAAACCGATCCTAAACCTAGTGGGCCAATCTAACAAGCTCAACTGTTTGGTCAACGAAGAAGAGAGAGTTCCGTTGGACATGTACTTGTAAACCAAGAGCTTCTCTTCTTCCACTAAGCAGTACCCCAACAAAGGAGTCAGATTAGGATGTCTAAGTTCACCCAAAGCATTCATCTCTGCCCGAAATTGCCTTTCGTGAAGCTTACATGCGCTAAGCCTCTTAATTGCAAGAGCAGAACCATCCGAAAGAATGGCTTTGTAAGTTGTCCCAGTTCTTGTTGAAATTATGGCATTCTCTTTACTGAAATTGTTTGTTGCAACCATCAAATCCACCAGCCTAACCTTCACAAGTGGTTTCTGAAACAAAGAAACGTGGATAAGCTTGTGATTTCTCAACCTATCAGCCCAGCTACTGCTATCATCCTCTCCCCCAATCCCATCGCGTCCCTTACTCTTTGATGTCGCCAAGCACCACCACCACAACCCAAACCCTATTAACAACGACGCGGCTGCCCCAAACACACCGGCGGCAACAATTATGGCCAAATTCTTCTTACTCAATCCACCACACTTGTCAAGAGGCTTACCACAAAGTCCCCTGTTCCCATCAAAATTGGACGAATCAAAATCCGACAACCTTGAGGGAATCGGACCAGATAGAGCATTATTTGCAACCGAAAACCTATTTAGCCTAACCAAATTAGATAACTGCGGTGATATACTACCAGACAATCGATTGTCCGACAGCACAATACTATTCAAAAACAAGCAATTACCGAGATCTGCCGGAATTTCTCCGGTCAATTGGTTGTCTGACAGATCTAAATTGACTAAATAAGGCAACCAGGTACAAAGTTCGGTAGGTATAGAACCAGTGAGATTGTTACCGGAGAGATCTAGGTTCTGTAAGCTCCGACAAAACCGTAAGTCGGGAGGAATTGATCCCGCAAGTCCTAGTTCACGAAGCGTGAGCGAAATTAAACGATTTTCCTGTTCATTCCAACAGCTGACTCCGGTGAACTTGCAGATGAATCCTGCGGTGTTGTTATTGAAGTTCCAGGAGAGCTCTGATCGTGGATCACGAAGAGAGTTCTGAACGCCTTGCAAACACTTGACATCGTCCTCGGCGACGACCGACAACGACTGAGTACAGAAAAAGATGGCGAGTGTGATCAGTGTTACATAATCAAACATACCTCTGAAAGAAGCCATTGATCTAGCGCTTTTCTCCACCGGAATTCAACAAACTGCGTGATGCTATGGTGGTGGGAGCAGGATAAGGAGGGAAGAACATTGACTTTTCTCGAGCCTGTCCAATTCAACAGGCACTTTTGACTGGTTGAGCGTTCCAACTTTCAAATACTGAAAAACTTTTCTGAACCTATTTTTACGATACCAGAATTTTTGGAGATTTATAATTTTTTTATAATAAAATATTAAAAGTTAAATAAAAAAATACATTTAATTTCGATACGTAATTTATTTTAACAATTCTATCATTATTTATACTATATTATAAAGTATTTGACAAAAACTATAAAAAATAATTTTTTTATATATAAAGTATTGTATATTGATACATATTACTTAAAATTCAATATTACAAATTAATTATACGTAAGTACAACTTATTAAAGTTCTATGTTTGAATTCGTGTAACTAACTGTAAATACACATAATCAAATACATGATAAATATCATTTTAAATATAAAAAATTTAAAATATAATTAAGATAATCATTGAGTTCTAATAAAATACTTAATTATTCTCTTAATAAAATTATTTTATTAATCTAAAAATAAATTAATTCGTTATTAAACTTCAATTAAATTATAATAAAAAAATTGAATTAATTTTTTTCTTACATAAATAAACTTTTAAATAGTTAATTTGATACTAATATCGCTATTTTTTTATAATATTTTCAAATTTATATTTCATTCAAAAGTTAAACATTATCTTTTTCTAAAAATCACATAAAAACGCATTATGACATCCATAGACCCAAAATATAAAACGAAACATTAAAATCAAAATGTATTTCTCTACATTGTGCGAGTACATTTTTAGTAATATTAAAATATTTAATACATTTAATAAAATATTATTTTTCTCTTTTAAATTCAATGGCTTTTATTGATGAAAAAAATTAAATATCATTTCTCCCTTAAATACAGAATTTTAAAGATTTCTCCAAATTTGAATATTTATATGATCTCTCTCTTCTTTACATTATTTTAGCATACAGTATAACATAGTTATTAAAGCAAAAAATAAACTATAAATCTCTAAAATCCTCATTTTATCATAGTTGTTGGAGATGTTGTAATACATTTTGCACAGAGCATCCTTAATGGAAGGTTCTTAGAACATATCCAACAGCTCTGTTGTTTTAGAATTTTTTGAAGATTTTTGGAAAAAATTTGCTCCAACAACTATATTAAACTCTCTTATTATATAGGGGAAAAAATAAAAATAGAGAAACCTCTAAATTTATAAAAAGCGATAGAAAATATAAAAAGTTGTTGCATATGCTTTTATAGGCAAAAAGTGTAGTGTCTTATAAGAACAACCATTGAATTGAGTTTTTCATATAAAATTCAAGTCATTTAAGTTTTTTGTACAAAAACTTTGGTTATTTCCTTAAAATACAAAAATTAGGTTCTTATAAGCATTTCCATTGGAGATACAAGTCGAAATTTGAAATTTAAATGCTAATTACTTTTTGTTGGTTTTGCGATTGAAAAGTTCTCGATTTGTTGTTATACATACATATATATATAGACTTGGGATCATGTGAGATCAATGATTTTTTGTGAAACCCGTAAGACCAATTCTCAACCCTTGGATTGGATCTATAATCTGACAATCTAAACATTCATAAACGTCACGAGACTTCTCAATAATTACAAAATTGCCACCGTGCAACTTTAGATCATTAGCTTATAAAGTTGATCAATGAACATAAATTGATCTTACGGCTCTCACGAAAAACCCTTGGTCTCACGTGAACCCAACCCTATATATATATATATATATATATATATATATATATATATATATATATATATATATGTATACACACACACATACATACATATATACACTATATCATAAAGCATTTGATAAAAATTCTTAAAAATTATTTTTTATGCATAAAATACTGTTTATTTGTACATATTACTTAAAATTTAAGATCACAAGTAAATTGTGCGTAAGTACAACTTATTAAAACTTCTTTTTTGAATATGTGTAACTAGCTGTAGATAAATATAAACAAATACGAGATAGACATCTCATTTTGAATATAAAAAATATAAGATATAATTAGGATAATCATTAGTTACAAAAAAATATTTAATTATTATCTTTATAAAAATTATATTATTAAACGATAAATAAATTACTTTGTTATTAAATCTAAATTAAATTATAAATAAAATAATGAATTAAATAAATTACACAAAAAAACGAGAACTTTAAATAGTAAATTTGATATTAACATTAATATATTTTTTTTTCCAAATCTTTATGATATTCTTAAATTTATATGTTTCTCAAAAATAAAAACATTATCGCTTTCTCAAAATCATTAAAAACCATATTATATCGACAAATATAAATAATAAAACTAAACATTAAAATTGAGATAGATCTCGCCATATTATGCGAGCATCATTCTAGTATATATGTGTGTGTGTGTGTGTGTAGATGAGCGATCAAATACAAAATCACTCATATTGTACAAATCGTGCAAACCATTCTCATCTATCGATTTCATAATTTAATCTTATGTATAGTATTGATTAAAATATATACTTGTTTCATATGAATTCAGTTTACAATGTAAATTTTATGTGTATTTTTGTTCCACAAACACTAAAAAAAAGTTTAGATTGTAAACCGAGTACATGTGAAACAAATGTATATTAATTATTGCATTAAAATCTAATCATAAATGAAAATAATATTATAAAATACTAAATGATGCATTGGTTCTCATATATCTCACGGTTTAAACGAGACACTCTTGCCATATTCACCGGGCTTTTTATGCGTAGTCGGGCTTTGAGGTTAAACAATTGGTATGACCGGACTTTTCATGCTAGACCTTTTCGGGATTAATTAGACTTAACTGGGTTTTTTAGATTGGGCCTCTTAGGACCGAGCCTATGCTCAACCATGGTTAGCCTTTGAGGCCTCGTCTAAACCGAGCTTCAGGCTCACCAGGCCTAAGCTTTTTCAAGTCGGGCTTAATGAAGAATTCAGACTTGGACTTTTCTATACATCTTTATATATTGATTATTTATAAACATGTAAAATGTTTATAATACAACCCCAGTAACATTTTTATCCTGGTCCCGATTAAAAAATCAAAAGATTAAATCTAAGCGGACCATGTTTTTAATTATATATATATATATATATATATATATATACACACACACACACACACCCACACACTTGTGATCATGTGAGACCAGTCTAGTTTTGTGAAACTGATGAGTCCACTTTTTTACACTCGGAACTTTCACAACAAAACATTATAAAGGTTACTTTCACAGTGTTTTTGTTATGAATGTTCAATTTTTTTACCTTCACAATGTTTTGTTGTGATGTTCCAAATGTAAAAATGTGGTTTCACGAGTCTCACGAAAACAAGATGGTCTGACATGAACCCAATCCCATATATATTTGGGATCACGTGAGACCAGCTTGTTTTTGTGAGACCAATTTTTTACACTTGAAACTTCACATCAAAAATCTGTGAAAGCAACCTTCACAGTGTTTTTGCTGTGAAGGTTTGACTTTCTTTACCTTCACAACGTTTTACTGTGAAGTTTTAAGTGTAAAAAAATGGTATCACGAGTATCATAAAAACAAGTTGGTCTCACGTGAACTCAACCTTACAAATATAAATATTATATCAATGTCAATAGCTTTGATAATTAAAATATTAATTATAAATATTAAATCATAAAATAAATATTACTGAGTACTACTCTACACATACATATAGATTTTAAATCGATATGATTGTGTTTAGCTTTTGGAAAAAAGGTAAATAAATAAATGAAAAGGTAAGAGCATCTCCAATCCAAAATTCCCATTTAATAACTCATAATCAGATATCTAATTAACTATTTGCAACTTGATAATTTAAAACAGATATTTCAAATAGTTAATTATTATTTACTGGATGAAAATGGTAAAATTTATAATCCATATTCATACAGCAACATCATTTTGAATGCATTCAATTTGAATTGGTATTTTCTTCATTCCAATTATTGTGAAGAGACATCTAAAATCTGTAGTCTTGGACAGTTTAATTGTGAAAATATGTGTATAGCCAAAAATAAATCGCATTTAAAATAAGGTCAAGTTCTAATTGTTCAAGTTGACATTGTGGTAATACGGCCTGCTAAGCCTTATTTGGCTACTCCACGAACAATAAAACTCAATTGATACAAAAATATAACGACAAGGACACACAAAAATCAGTTTGTTAAATAAAAATAATGACGATGAATAGACGTCTTTAAGTTGACTTAAAAGCAAGAGGGTGTTTGTTTGACTCTTAATGGCGACATTAAGAAGGAACCTCTTAATTGGTAGAGGCAGGGGCTATTTGGCATAAACAAGAGGAACCTTTAAATGACAAAACTAGCTGATTAGAATGTAAAATGACCAAAAATGTATCTTAAAAAATTAATCAACTATAATATTTCAAAATATAATTGAAACAAATTTTTAATAATAAAAATATATTAACTAATACAAATAAGATGATAAAAGAAAATTAAAAAAATATTTATATATAACATAATATTTGAATTTGTTAAAATAAATTTTAT